CACGGTCTCTCCTGCCCGGGCTGGCTTTGAACCGCGATCCTCAGATCTCAGCCTCCTGAGTAGCTAGGATTACAGGCGTGAGCCACCAGCGCCCGGCTACTTCTGTTTTTTGCCTTTCTGGGTAGAGAGGACTTTCTTGGGGACTTCAGAGGAAGGGACAGCTGATGTGAGTTAAATCTTAATACTCTCTCCCCTCTCAGCTGTAGCTTTCATACAGGAATGGCAGAAGATGAGCCTGATGCTAAGAGCCCTAAGACTGGGGCGAGGCCCCCCCAAGGTGGTACAGATGCTGGGGAACCTACCACACTTCTTCAAAGGCTCCGGGGTACCATTTCGTAAGTATTCATTCCCATCTCCAAATCCTATTCCAGACCCCTCTGGAGACAGATTGCCTCCTATCAGGTAAGTACATTGGAGCAGGAGAACACGCTGCTATGCTGGCAATTCTTAAGCTCCTCTAGGCACTTAAGTCCTTTCCCCAAGTTGGGAGGGGAAAAAAAAAAACCCAAACAGAAAACAGATACAGGGATGGGAAAACCTCATGACCTCTAGCTTTCTCTTCTTCTCTACAGCAAGGCCGTGCAGAACAAAGTAGAGGGAATTCTGGTAAGCACATTGGGATGAGGGCAATCTAGAAAGATCATTGGTGGGATGAGGGCAGTGGGATGGGATGGGTAAATGAAAGGTTCATGTAGGAGAGGCAGTGTGGTCCACCTCAGCAGAAGATAATTGGCTTTGCACATTGCTGCCAGTTTGACAGTGAGCATCTTACATCATCTTCTCATTTAGAAGCCCTGAAGAGAGAAAATCAGAGCTGTTCCCTTTCTTTCCGTGATAGTCCATAAGGGTTCCATGGGCCACAGTGAGCACTTTGCCTCAAGTCATCTGAGTTCCCCCTGACATAGTCTGACAACCTATGAATCATCAGGACTTAGATGATAAGGATCAAGAGAACATGGATTTGGTCTTTCTGCATCTTATTATTTCTCTCCTCTTCCTTCTTACCTCAGCAAGATGTACAGAAATTCTCGGACAATGACAAACTCTATCTCTACCTTCAGCTACCTTCAGGGCCCAGCACTGGAGACAAAAGGTTGGTTTGGTGGCAGAGTTTTAAAAGTCAGAGGCTCTGATTCTTAGAGACAGTCCCATTGTGAAGGGGCAGGAAGAGTAGGAAAACACATAGCTGCTATCTATGACCAAGAAAAAAGCCCCTAGCTGAGCGCTGGTAGTTCACACCTCTAATCTTAACTACATAGGAGGCTGAGAGCTAAGGATCTCTGTTCAAAGCCAGCCGGTCAAGAAAAATCTAGAAGATGCTTATCTCTAATTAACCACCAGAAGTGGAGCTATGGCTTAAGTGGGAGAGTGGCAGCCTTGAGTGAAATAGCTAAAGGACAACACGCAGATCCTGAGTTCAAGATCCACTACCCTTGCCCAGCAGGGAAAGATGGATTCCAGGTGGACTAATTTGGTTCAGTATTACTGAAATAGTAGTTGGGGAAGAACCAGGACAACTGTTGGCCTTTTGCTTATGCTTGTCTCTATAACTTCTCTTACAGCTCAGAGCCAAGTACACTCAGCAATGAAGAGTACATGTATGCCTACAGGTGGATCCGCAACCACCTGGAAGAGCACACGGACACCTGTCTGCCAAAACAGAGCGTTTATGATGCTTATCGGTGGGTGGAGGGGGTGGGCATAGGACTAATCCCACACTCCTGCAAAGCCCCCTACCTTGCTAGAGTCTGACTTCTTGAATGATTCCCCCACACTTGATCTCTAGGGACTCTCACAACTCACCCATAGCCTCCTCCTCTGAGTATCTTGCAATCTGCCCCTCACTCACTCAGGAAGTATTGTGAGAGTCTTGCCTGTTGCCGCCCACTCAGCACAGCCAACTTCGGCAAAATCATCAGAGAGATCTTTCCTGACATCAAGGCCCGAAGACTTGGTGGCCGGGGCCAGTCTAAATATCCTTGACTGGAGAGGTTGGGACCTGAAGACCTGGGGAGGAAATCATAGGATGTGGAGAGCCAGGTGAAAATGGCCTAATTTGCCCTTTAAGGGGCCTGGAGTGCCCCAATGTTAGCTGCTCCTTAACTTGGCATCAGATATTGCTACAGTGGTATACGAAGGAAAACCTTGGTGTCTATGCCACCCTTGCCTGGACTTGACCTAAAGGGTTCAGAAAGTGTAAGTAACAACTCCATTCTTCTTTCCTGGCTTTTTGGAATGCTGGGAATTGAACCCGGGGCCGTACACATGTTAAGCAAGTACACGCCACTTGGGCTCTCAGCCCTTTTGTTTTTATTTTGTCTTTGAGACAGGGTCTTGCTACTTTTGCCTAGGCAGGCTTCAAATTCAAGATCCTCTTGCCTCTGCCTCCTGGGTAACTTGAGATTACAGGTATACACTATGATACCTGGCTTTAGAACATTTATGGAGGGCTGACAAAGTCTAGGTCATTTGTGCGTTGCTTCTGGGTATCCTTCTGATTCCTCTATAGCTGAAGGAAAGAGAAAAAGAGTTTGTGGATTTCTGGGTTGGGATGGTCTCAGTCTGGTCAGTAGAAGTGTCAGGGGAAGGGTTCTGTCGTTTGTAATGTGATTGGGCATCTTTTGCCACTACAGCCAGAAATGGGCCCAGAAGTAACCCCAGCACCTCCGGATGAGTTGGTAGAGGCCGCCTGCGCCCTGACCTGTGACTGGGCAGAGCGGATCCTGAAACGGTCCTTCAGTTCCATTGTTGAAGTTGCCCGCTACCTGCTCCAGCAGCACCTCATCTCTGCCCGATCTGTACACGCCCATGTGCTTAAGGCCATGGGGCTGACTGGTGAGTGGACCTTCTCATGTATGTGAAATTCTTAACCACTTGCAACTTTTTTTTTTTTTGCTGGTTGTGGGGCTTGAACTCAGGGCCTGAGCGCTTTCCCTGAGCCTCTTTGTTTTTTGTTTTTTTTTTTGGGTCCGGTCATGGGGCCTGAACTCTGGGCCTGGGCACTGTCCCTCAGCTCTTCAGCTCAAGGCTAGCGCTCTACCACTTTTCTTTTTGCTTATGTGGTGCTGAGGAATCAAACCCAGGGCCTCATGCATGCAAGGCAAGCGCTCTACCACTGAGCCACCTTCCCAGCCCCCCTGAGCCTCTTTGTACTCAAGGCTAGTGCTCTACCACTTGAGCCACAGTGCCACTTCCGGTTTTGGGTGGTTAATTGGAGATTAGAGTCTCACTGGGACTTTTCTGCCCTGGCTAGCTTCAAACTGTGATCCTCAGATCTTGGCCTCTGAAGTAGCTAGGATTACAGGCATGAGCCACCAGCATTCGGAACAACTTTTTTTTTTTTTTTTTGTCGGTCGTGGGGCTTGAACTCTGGGCTTGGGGCTGTCCCTCAGCTCTTCAGCTCAAGGCTAGCGCTCTACCACTTGAGCTACAGCGCCACTTCCGGTTTTCTGGTGGTTTATTGGAGATAGGAGTCTCACAGTCTCTCCTGCCCGGGCTGGCTTTGAACCTCGATCCTCAGATCTCAGCCTCCTGAGTAGCTAGGATTACAGGCGTGAGCCACCAGCGCCCGGCCTTTTTTTTTTTTTTTTAAATGAGTCTTATTATGTTGCCCAGGCTACTCTCCAACTCCTGCACTCAATTGATCCTCCCACCTCAGCCCCCTTAAGAAGCTAGGATTACAGGCTGGCACCATGACATGCCTGGTTTCACATTCTTGTATACCAGAATGGACACTTCAGCTTTTTTTGGGGGGAGGTGTCCGGTCGTGGGGCCTGAACTCTGGGTCTGGGCACTATCCCTTAGCTCTTCAGCTCAAGGCTAGCACTCTACCACTTGAGCCACAGTGCCACTTCCAGCTTTTTTCTTTTTGCTTATGTGGTGCTGAGGAATAGAACCCAGGGCCTCAGGCATGCAAGGCAAGCACTCTACCACTGAGCCACCTTCCCAGCCCGGACACTTCAGTTTTAAAGTCCACCTTGTATATCAGAATGGACACTTCAGATTGCCTTCTGTTCCTAGAGTCCCTTTGTAGACATGCTTTGACCACCTGCTTTGCCCTGTCTCCTCAGGGCAAATTCTTCTTCTTATTCTTCAGTATTATTCTTACCCTCATTCTATTACTTTTTCTGACACCTCTGGCAGAAGAGGATGAACCCACCCCTAGGGAAAGGTATTCTAAATCCAAGAATGGAGCAGAGAATCTGGAAGGTGGAGTCCATAAGAAACCTGAAAGGCCAGCTCAGGTAAGGAAAATGCCTCTAGCTTTTTCCCTGGTGAGCCCCCTACTTTTTCTCTTCTGGTGCCTCAAGTGCCTACATTTCTTTCCACATTCATTCCTTTTTTTTTTTTTTTTTTTTGCCAGTCCTGGGGCTTGAACTCAGGGCCTGGATGCTGCCCTTGAACTTCTTTTTCTCAAGGCTAGCACTCTACCACTTGAGCCACATCACTACTTCTAGCTTTTTCTGTTTATGTGGTACTGAGGAATTGAACCCAGGGCTTCATGCATGCCAGGCAAGCACTCTACCACCCAGCCATGTTCCCAGCCTCCACGTTCATTCTTTGAACCCTACTGTGATCATCTCTTTTGTTTTTTAGCCTCCTAAGGAACTGGAAGCCCGGACAGGGGCTAGCCCTCCAGTGCGTGGTGATCGGAAGAAGAGTGTAATTGAGAGCTCGGCCTCTGCACCCAGTAACCCACAGGTCAATGCCCTAGTGGCCCGGCTGCCTCTGCTCCTTCCCCGGGCCCCTCGAGCACTGATTCCACCAATTCAAGTCTCTTCACCCATCCTGGCCCCCAAGATTTCTTCAAGTACACTGAAAGTGGCTACACTGCCTCTGCCCAGTAGGGCTGGAGGACCCCAAGCAGCGGTACCCATCATTAACATGTTCTTACCAACTGTTCCTGCTTTGCCTGGGCCTGGACCTGGACCTCAGTCTGGGCCAGGCCCAGGGAGAGCCCCAGCTGGGGGACTTACTCAGTCTCAGGGAACAGAGAACAGAGAGGTAGGCATAGGTGGTAACCCACGACCCCATGACAAGGCTGTCAAGAGGACAGCTGAAGTACCAGTTAGTGAGGCCAGTGGGCAGGACCCAGCAGTTAAAGCAGCAAAGCAGGATACAGAGGATACAGTAAGTGATGCCAAAAGAAAACGTGGGCGCCCTCGAAAGAAGTCTGGTGGAAGTGGGGAAAGACATTCCACCCCTGAGAAGTCAGCAGCTGCCATGGACTCAGCCCAGGCCTCAAGGTTATCATGGGAGAAGTGGAGTTCAGGAGGGAAAAGCAACTCAGCTGGAGAGTCAGAGATGCCAGGGCCAGCAGGAGAGGCTGAGCAAGGGGCAGCGCTTGCCCTTGGTCAGGAAGATGTTGCTGGTTGCAAAGGAGGAAGGGCCCCCAGTTTGCAGCAAGCCAAAGAAACAGAAGATAAAATTGCTCTCGTTCCCCCAAAAGTGAGTGTAATCAAGGGCAGCAGAAGCCACAAGGAGGCTCTTCAGTTTGTAAAAGGAGAGGCAGATACTGCAGCCCAGGGAAAAGGCTTCAAGGGGCATGTCCTTCAAAGATCCTTAACCCATGAGCGGAAAGATCCTAAAGCAACTCCCCCCTGATAGACCTGTGGGGAAGAGTGGCTAGATCTACATATTAACTACCTGATCGCCTGCTAGAGGCCTTTCTCTGCACTTGCTTCTTACTTGGCTATTTCCCTAAGGGAATCCATTGTCCTCTGCATAGACAGCTGAGTCACCCAGTGTTACATAGAGCCTGGTGGCTGCTTTTAACCTTTCTAGCTCAATACTTTGACTTTCATATAACACAAATCTGTAGTGGCCTTCTGGTCTGGATCCCTTTGCTCTCCTCTGGGAAGGCAAGGGTAAGTATGATGAATGTATAGCTAAGGATCTCCTGATTTTCAACCATAACCTAACTCAAACTCATTTATCGGCTCATGTAACTGAAAGTCTAGAGGTAATGCTGGCTCTAGGCGAACGAAATTAGACCTGGCAAAATCAGGCAAAATTGGTCTCACTGCTCCACCTAATGTAAACCATCTTAAGCCCGGGTCACCTCATAGCTGCCAGCATGCCTAAGATTACATGTTTGCCCACTTATGACCAATTGGAAAGAGAGAGTATCATTGTGCCAGATACCCTAGTAAAAGACTCACTCTGATTAAGCCAACCTGGTCACATGTCCACCCCTGACCAATTAGTGTGGCCAGGAGGATGGTAAGCAGCTATGCTTATGCCACACCTTCAGGGGAAAAGGGTAGAATCAGCCTCCTTGAGATCAGATTCCACAGATGAAGACTGGGCCAGGGGTTTCTGGGAGGCAGCTAACAGCCTTCAACAACTACCAGGTGCATGCATTTTAAGCTTGATAAGTCTAGATCAGCTAGACCTACAGCCCTTTCCCTTCAGTCTTGCATTTCCCTTACCGCAGCTATAGCTTCTTTCCTCTTGATCTGGCCTCTGAAGAGAGAGAAGGAAGTCATTCTCCTTTGGAGACTTTCTTCATCCTCACCTATTAGACACATACTTTTTTTTCCCACCTACATCTCAGAAACAGACCTTTTTTTTCTTCTCTTTTTCTGAACTTACACTTTCTTCTCACTCCCTATCCCCCAGTCTGTTGCCCCTTTCACCAAGTAGAGTGAGATTACTTCCTAGTTATTTCATTAAATTCATTCTGTATCCACCAGGTGTCAGTCTCTTGTCATCCATGTGTCAGGCTGAATCTGTGGGGTTTTGGCTGCTTGTACAGAAAGAGGTGGTCCTTCATGTCAGGGAGCTCAGGTGGGAAGGAGATCCAGATCCTCTGGGTATGTCCATGGGAAAAGCAGTAAACCAGCCCTTATTTATTGAGGACCTCCTTTGTCCTCTAAGTAAGAGAGCATCTGTCAGGGAGTCTCGGCTCTTCCCAAGAAATACAAATTTTTCTTTCTTTCAGGGAGATGGCATTCATTTGTGTTTCCACCATAAAATCCCCAGATTTTTTTAAAATTATAACGTAATATTTGATATCTATAAAGAATATATGTAACATGAATAAATTATGATATGTAACAATAAAATGAGTACCTATGACCCATCACTTATATATATACATATATATAGATAGATAGATACATACACACACACATATATATAAGCATTAGAAATACTATGTTTATATCCCTGCCCCACCCTAGACCCCCCTTTTAGAGGTAACAACTGTCCTTAATTTATGTTTATAAATCACTTGTTATATGTATTTCAACCATATGTATAATATTTTTTAAGAATGTATTTAGTTTTTTAGCTTTACAAGTGTTACATTTCGTCCTTTGACATTTGCTTTCATGCACTTAACATTGTTTCTAAAATTCATCCCTGTTGCAAAATTGTGATTCATTTTCATCTGTATAATATTCCATTAAGTACATAAAGCACAACTTTACCATACCTGTCAATGGATATTTGAGCTGTTTCTACTTTATGCTATTATATAATGCTGCTATGAACATTCTTGTACATGTTAGTGCCTTTGTAGCAAAATTTCTAAAGAGTTCTAAGATGGTCCTTTTGGTCTGTAAACCTCTAAGTTGGGGACTGTCAAACCTTGTCTTATTCTCTAGTAAAGTTTACAACAGACTGAAATGAACTATTCTTTTTGTTTGTTTGTTTTTTTTGTTTTGTTTTTGGTCCGGTCTTAGGGCCTGAACTCTGGGCCTGGGTACTGTCCCTCAGCTCTTCAGCTCAAGGCTAGCGCTCTACCACTTGAGCCACAGCGCCACTTCCGGCTTTTTTCTTTTTGCTTATGTGGTGCTGGGGAATTGAACCCAGGGCCTCAGGCATGCAAGGCAAGCACTCTATCACTGAGCCACCTTCCCAGCCCCATGAAATGAACTATTTTTGAACTTTTGGTAAAACCTTGTAAAGCTATGCGAGTCTTAAGTTTCTTTGTGGGAATAATTGGTACAATTTCTTTAGTAACTATAGATAACTACATTTCCTCTTGAGTCAGTTTAGACAAAGTGATTTTCCAATATTCTTATGCTTTTCATGTCTTTTAAAAAATTTAACAGGAAGTTCTAATATTCTAGTAGTCAGATCCTTTTCATTTCTTTTTTTTTTAATTTTATTTATTTTTTTTTTGTGAACATACGATCCTTTTCATTTCTATTGTTTAACCTGTGCCGCCTTTTCCCCTTAATCAATTTGCTAGAAATTTGTGGGGGGG